AATATCTAAATCTTCTTTACAAATATCTCAGTGTTCTCCAAAGTGTGGAACATGAACCATAAGAGATATAGATAGTTTTAGCTGGTACATGGAGATTAATAGTTATTTTAATGCATATTAGGGAAAACATAATTAGCAAGTGAAAATGATGATTTTTATAGATATTTCTTATGATAAAGTGGATAATTAAGATTTTTTCCCACTTATTTTAGTGAATTGGTTTAAAGAAGTATTAATTTCAAGTGGCAGGTGGATATGGTAAGAAACTGTAATGTGTTTTGAGGACGATCAAAGTTTGGGATTGTTATTTCATAATTTCTTTGAGTCACCAACAATTCAGTGTAAATAAAATGTCACTTGTTCTTAGCTCTGTTTTATAGATTAGGAAACTGAGGCTTTGAGATTTTAAATAACTCATCCAGTTTTTTGTTATGGTCTTAAATTCCAGTCTTTCTAATGTAATTGCTGGGTTTTTTCCACTCCCAGACTCTTCAACAAAAAGTCTAAGACAGAGCCTTTCTTTTCCTAGCAAGTGAGAGGGCATCTCTGAGTCATTCGCCCTGTCTCTACTGTCCCTTTTCAGGATTAATAATACGTGTAGCTCTGACTACATAACAAACTGGATGAACTGAGTGGTTCTCAAAGGGTTGTTCTCAGGCTAGCATCATCAGCACCACATGAAACTTACTAGAAATGCAAGTTCTTAGAACTGCTCTAAAATCAACATCTTACAAACTATAGGGTAGGGCCAGAAACCTCTGTTTTATCAATGCCTGGTGTAATTCTGATGCACACTAAAGGTTGAGATAGTTTGAGAACTGTACTGTGGTTCTCAAAGGGGGGTTGATCTCCCACCACCTCACCCAGAAGGCATTTAGCAACGTCTGGAAACGTTTTGGGCTGTCTTAAATGGGGCAGAGGGTGCTATGGGCATTTAGTGATTGGAGTCTGGGGATGCTGCTGAACATCTGGAAAGGTACACGACAGCTCTGCATAATAAAGAATTATCTCGCCCACTTTCGGAGGACAAGGTAGCAGAATTACATGAGGCCAGGAGTTCGAGACCAGCCTTGGCAACATAGCAATACCCTATCTCTACAAAAACAATTAAAAAGTTAGCTGGGCATGGTAGCACTCACCTGTAGTTCCTGCAACTCAGGAGGCTGAGGTGGGAGGATTGTGTGAGCCCAGGAGTTTGAGGCTGTAGTGAGCTATGCTCACACCATTGCACGCCAGCCTGGGTGACAAAGCAAGGCTATCTCAAAAATTTTTTTTGACCCAGCCCAAAATGTCAATTACCCTGAGGTTGAAAAACACTACACCAAACTAACTAATCTTGGCCTGATAAGCATTGTGGCTCAGCCAATGGAACTACTTTCAAGAGGCCAAAAGCAGTCTTGGAATCGCTGCTTACTTTTGCCTCTGATTGACTGGGTTGCCTATTTTTTATTTGTCAGTGCTCAGAGATTTATGGCTAGTTGGCAAACATCTTCTCCAGTCTACTCTTGGCCGTGTTTATGATTCCTGAAATAGATAACAAATTATAGTCAGAGTTGATGGTGGAGTCCAGCCCGTTAAACAAGGACAGCTGGAGGCAATTTGTGAGGCTTATGTTTGGTGCACCCTACCTTACCTCTCTTGGCACTCAGGACTTCAAACTGTGTCCTGCATGCTAAGATTCCACCTTTCCAGAAAATAATGTATAACCATGTTTCTGTTAATGAGGCAGTCAGTATAGCATAATGGTCAACAGCACCATTCAGGGTAGTAGGAGGTCAAATTCCTTGTCATCAAATCCCAGCTTCACCATTTGTCAACTGTGTGACTCTAGGCAAATTCTGCACTTTCCTGAGCTTCAGTTTCTCCATCTGTAAATCAAGGTGATAATAATAGTAGTACTTTCCTCTTAACATGGTTATGAGGATCAAATAAGGAGAATGCATATAGAGCTTTTAAAACAGTCTGAGAGCCATGGAAAATGCCTGCCATCTGCTAATTTTAATTACTATTTGAGATTTCATAGTGCATTATAATTCCCAGTGTTGGAGGTGGTTCCTGGTGGGAAGTGATTAGATCATGGATCATGAGGGTGGATCCTCATAAATGGCCTAGCACTATCCCCCTTGGTACTGGCCTCACAATAGTGAGCAAGTTCTTGTGAGATCTGGTCATTCAAAAGTGTGTAGCAGCTCCCATCTCGCTCTCTTTTGCTCCTGCTTTTGCCATGGGTCATGTCTGCTCCTCCTTCACCTTAACCATGTTTGTAAGTTTCCTGAGGCCTCCCCAGAAGCAGATGCTGCTCTGCTTCCTGTACACCCTGAAGAACCATGAGCCAATTAAGTCTCTTTTCTTATAAACTACCCAGTCTTAGGTATGTCTTTATAGCAATGCAAAAATGGACAAATACACTATTAATACACTGTACTATCTCTTTTGGTCTTCCATCTTTCATTTTATTATTTTATTTATTTGAGATAGAGTCTTGCTCTGTTGCCCAGGCTGGAGTGCAGTGGCAGGATCTTGGCTCACGGCAATCTCCACCTCCCAGGTTCAAGTGATTCTCATGCCTCAGCCTCTTGAGTAGCCGGGACTACAGGCGCCTGCCACCACGCCTGGCTAATTTTTATATGTTTTTAAGTAGGGACGGGGTTTCACCATGTTGGCCAGGCTGATCTCGAACTCCTGACTTCAGGTGATCTGCCTGCCTCCACCTCCCACAGTGCTGGGATTACAGGTGTGAGCTACCGTGCCCAGCCTGGGTCTTTCATCTTTTAAATGACAAGTCTGTTGCCTTAATGCTCAAGAAGAACCCTTGATACCCAGTCCTTTGGGAAGTACTGGTCTTCTCTTTCCTCCCCAAAGCTGATACTCAATGTTGCTTAACCACAATCAGCCTATTCTCTCCCATATCTGTAATATATAAGGTGATGAATTGCATCATATTCCCCCTGTTTCTAGGACTTCATTCTGACCCTGGAAGGTGGGTGCTATTACCAATGGGGCTGAGGCAGGCGTCTGGCTCTAAGCTAGCTGCCCTAAATTCTAAAGAACTAATTTAAAATGATGGGTTATTAGCATCAGAGAAGACATTTTCAAACAAGGGATGGCTTTGGCCCACATTATAAGGCTCTCACTGCAGCTTTTATAAGGTCAGCCTAGACCAGGTTAATATGGCTTTCAAAATAATAAAGAAGGAGAATCAGAATCTGTCTGCTCTTATTAAGTCTAACCCTTGCTTGAATATTAAAATATGTAGAACTAGGCACAGGTGGAATGACAGCTGGGCTTCAGGTCAAACTAGGGAAAAGAAAATCAGGATGGGACTCCTCACTGACCGTCAAGGAAGAAAATGGGGTCAACATCATTAATACCAAAGCATCCCCAATTTGTGTCCAGATGATCAAACCACTGAGGGGGAGGGGCCAATAGGGGGAAGCTCTGAACATGTCATTAGGATGAAAACTTTTCAAAGTTCTTTTTCTCCATGTTAATTCAGAAATATGCCAAAGGTCTCCCAACAGGCTTTCGGCTTATACCGTCCACTACCTGATGTAAAAGCTTCTTTCTGCCTTTACGTCTGAGCATCACAATGGAAAATCTTCTCCAAGTCAAAACCAAACAAAAGAGATCAATGCAGCCCTCTTGCTAACGATGGTCTCCTCTTACGTGGGATTATAGGAAAGCAGTTTGAACAGTCTTCAGAGTCCATGGCTGGGTGGGGGACAGAGTGTGGGAAATTCAAACTTTCCAGGAAGTGCCTGTCTGGTTCGTTGTTGTTGTTTTAGAGTTCCGTTTCTAGAGTATCTTTCAGGTTATGTGTGGGCTTCATGCAAAAATAATAAAGTTAACAGCCAGCCTATGACTTCTTCATGAGGAGTTATATCTTAAGCATTATTATGAGTTACACTTCAAGGAAAGCACTGATGGATGGTGACTTCCATTTCAGAGGTTTGTTTAAGTTTTCAGGGACAAGTGATATTTTGGTGACTCATCCTAACAGTAGTAGGGGAAAATTTGCTAAAGGTTAAGAGCACTGAACATAAGAAAGATGAAACAGTTACATGGCAAATAATCTAATACACCAAGTCCTGTGCTGGGAAAAAGGGCAGTGACTCTCAACCCTGGTTATGCATTAAAATTGTCTGTCACATTCAAAAACAATCTAATTTTAAAAATCCACTCTAAAGCCAAACCCTTGACTAAGGGAGCCAGAACCCCTGGGGTTTCTTCAAGGCATCCACATTTCTTAAACCTCCTCAGATGATTTCATTGTGAAGTCAGGGTGGAGAACCACTGACCTAAACTGACAGAGTTGAATGGGATATAATTTACTCCCTCAAGAAAATAAGCAGAGGCAACTGTGTAAATAAATACTTGTAATACGGGGCATTAGATGTGCCAAATGGTAATGTGTACTGTATAAGGTATAGGGGTTTTGGAGTAAACAGAATGACCAATTTTCCTTGGGAAAATGAGAGAATATTTCAGGGAAGAGATGATGTCAGAATAATTTTGAAGAAGATAGAGGATTTTAGCAACATGGTGAGCAGGGAAGAAGATTCAAGGGAGAAGAAAGCTCACATGCTCTGTACCTAATTAGAGAAAGACCAGGAAGATGCTGGAAATTTTCCACCCAGTAATGATCAGATCTGGAACAGCTGTACAGAGTGATCACACCTAACCTGGAAGCCGCTCTTCACTGATGAGACATCAGTGGCTAACCATTGAAGCTCAGAGAATTTAAACAGAGAGGTGGAGGGAAGAACATGTACAGAGATACCCTTCCTAGGTTAACAGGAGAGGATTCTGAGTGTTCTCACAACAAAGCAATAAATGTTTAAGGTAATGAATGTGCTAATTACCATGATTTGATCATTGTACAAGGTATGCATGTGTCAGAACATCACACTGTACCCCATAAATATGTGCAATTCTTATATGTCAGTAAAAAACAAGATGTGACAGGGCATTGAAAAACAACTAATCTCTTGCACTGGTAATATTTTCCAAAGTATTTATCGTTTAATTGACTTCTTGTGGCTTCACGCCCGCAGGACACAGACCCCTTCCCCTCCACACACACATGCCATTACTCTTCTCCTTAGCTCTTCTGCTGAGGAATTTTGTCTTTGGGATGATGGACTGCTTTAGGGGATTGCCCTCCCTTAGAACTTTTTAGTTGCCCAATCACCATCAGTGATGGCAGCTCTAGCTTTGTTTTGGTACCACTGATGTGTCTGTGCACTGACCAAGGTTTGTAAGAATAGCAGTAGGGCAGAAGCTATTTCCTTGTGATGTGGGTTGTCTCAGACCAATCTTTCCACATCACATGGGTGACATTTGTTGTAATGCCTGTCACCAGCATTATCCCAGCATTCAGTTACTCCTGGTTCTTGCAGATATGGCTCTTGTTGTGGTTCTCACAGCCCTGGAGTTTCTGGGGCTTCTTTAGTCTGGCTGGGTGCCATTGGCTGAGACAGTAAAGAGAGCTTACTGTTTTTTAGGTTGCAGTAAATTTTCGTGAAGGGGTGTTAATATGGTTTGACTGTGTCCCCACCCAAATATCATCTCAAATTGTAGTTCCTATAATCCCCAAGTGTCCTGGTGGGGGTGAGGGACCCGGTAGGAGGTAATTGAATCATGGGGGCATTTACCCTCATGTTGTTCTCATGATAGTGAGTGAGTGCTCACAAAATCTGATGGTTTCATAAACGGCTCTTCCCACTTTTGCATGGCACTTTTCTCTCTTGACACCATCTGAAGAAGGACGTGTTTGCTTTCTCTTCTGCCATGATTGTATGTTTTTGGAAGTCTCCCCAGCCCTGTGGAGCTGTGGGTCAATTAAACCTCTTTCCTTTATAAATTACCCAGTCTCGGATATTTCTTCCCAGCAGTGAGAGAACAGACTAACACACATGTTGTAACTAATAAAAACAAAAATAGCTACAGCTATACCTACTGAAATACAATTTATAAAGACATGGTGCTTGGTGCGAATTTTGAAGATGTGGCAGGCATCTTGACAATGGCATTTGTGTTTGGAAATACTTCTTGAAGTACCAGTCAAGCCATCTACCCATCACCAGCTGAGTTGTGAACAAGTTCATTCATCAATTCACATCTCATCAATTGCTACATTTCATGGTGGAATTACCCCTAACAATGCTACAATGAATGCTACAACTATAATAATTAAAAGAAATTATTGAGGCTTACTATGCCTTCAATATGTTAACTATTTTAAGAAATATTTGATTATTTTCTGCCATTTACACTCTGTTTATTTTGATGAGTATTATTCTTAATACTCATTAAATGTTTTCCTTGCATCTTTGTTTACTCATGTAATTAGCATATTTTGAAAAACTTGGGGTTTCTCTTTTTTGTGATAAATAATAATTACTATCATGTAAATTTGTCTCCACAAAAGCATATATTGGAAACTGAATCCCTAGTGCAACAGTTTTGGGTGGTGGGGCCTAATGAGAGCTGATTAAGCCACGAGGGCTCTGCCCTCATGAATGGATTATTGTGGAAATGGGTTTCCTATGAGAGTTCAGCTTCTTTTTTTCTCTCTCTTATCCTCTCTTGCCCTTCCACCTCCCACTGTGGAATGATATAGCAAGAAGGCCCTTGCCAGAGGCTGGCCCTTTGATCTTAGACTTCCTAGTCTCGAACTGTAAGAAATAAATTTCTGTTCATTATAAATTGTGCAGTCTGTTATCTTCTACAACAGCAACATAAACTGGACTAAGAAAACGTTATTTCAATACCTCGATAGAGGAAGAGGGAAGAAAGATGCTACCTTGGGAGACAGAAGGGTGTAGAGTGTCTATCATCCTGGGGAGAGAAAGGAAGAAGCAGCTGAAGTCCCATTTTTCTCGTTTCAGGTGGATTGGGAAGGAATAAGTTAGCAGCTCAATGGAGCAGGTAATAAAACACATGCATCTTAATCAAACTTTCTGGGCTGAAGAACAGGGAGGGAAAATCAGCAAGACAGATTGAGGAAAAACAAGATAGCAAAAAAAGAGGCTTTTCTAGTCCTGTTTCCTATCTGAGAGGAAAGGGATTTGTAAGATGCCTCCCAAGTCAACATGGGATGAATGCCTTAGAACCAGGTTGGAGGCACACTGCGAGATCAAGTCTAGCTGGTCTGAGATAGCATCTAGAGCTTCCCTTGGCTCTTGCAGGGAATGGAAAGAGCCAGAATTTTTCTGAACCACTGAGAGCATTTGGAGGTTAGCTGAGAATGGCTAGGGAGCTTGCCTTAGGGGTTGCTGCACAGAGGCAAAGGGATCTAAGTGTGTTGCAGGGCGGCTCTCCTAGCCTGGGAGCTAAGTGAGAGTAGTCGGCCTCAGAGGGATATACAGCTTGGGGAGAAGCAGAGAGAGAGGTATCACGGGTCCTGACTGGGCTGGGAGAGCACAGAGTGCAATTCACCAGACACAGGCTTCCTCCTTCACTGCCAGCAGGTGCTCAGCAACCCAGCAATAAGGGGCATTGCCATGGAGACACGAAGAGCAGGGATTCTGTAAATGGTGCCTGCCTGGGTGGAAACATGGAGGACATTTATTCTTCACTTTGCATGGTGGGAAGAGGCCAAAGCCCCGTTCACACCCTCTGACCCTCCATTTGCTCCATTGTTTATCTGGATTGAGGATTAGCTTACACAGGACACCTCCCCTGCAGAAGGGTGTGTCTATGCAGAACTTTGAAAGGCTTTTGGGCAGTCTGCCATGTAATTGGGAGGTAAAATAGAATCTGAGGTTTCTCTCTGTTCTGCCACCATAGTGCCATGTACTTTCAATTCCAGATCCCCATCCAGATATCAATGAACAGGATGTGTAAGGATAGGGGGAGAAAACTGGGAACGCTGGAAAGAAACAGAGTTACCTTCACAGATGGTTTAAAGTATTGCATCATATTGAGTTAACTTGATTAAACTAAATTTAAATTTTCACCACTACCCCTCAGGACAAGGATTTGTGAGGATTTTCAGGCAAATTCAAGAAATACAAGGGGTGCATTTTCTTTGAAACCTGATTATTATGTGCAAATCTGTGACCTAGATGACAAGGGTCCTTGACTGCAGAGATGACAACTCTTAATCTATTATTTTTATTTTACAAAAAACCCACAGATAATTCATATTTCTCAACAATAAACTACACCAAATAACTGAAGTGTCATTTATCATTATTTCTGTGACGTAGAATTATAAAATATAAAAATAATGGCTGCTAGTTACTAAGAAAGTATTATTTTTTAATAATCACATCTAAGCCTGGAAACAACTGCATGCAAAGCATTATTATCTATTCTTCTCAAGTGAGAAAAGTGAGTCACTGTTTTCAGCACAATGTGAAGACACTGGTTATGATGAACCAGTAGGAAAATGTTTCGCAGTTACAATTTTACTTGATGTTACAGTTATGAAGATGAATGAATTATTTAGTATGGATGTTTCTCCACCACAGTAGAGTTTGTTAATGTGATATAGTAAAATAGATCATTTGGGGATCAGACAGATGTGGATTCAAATCTCAGCTCAGCCACTAATTAGTTTTGTGATCTTGGGAGTATTACTTCACTTATCTGAGTGAGCCTCACTCCTTTTTTTTTTTTTTTGAGCTGGGGTCTCACTCTTGTCGCTCAGGCTGGCATGCAGTGATGCAATCTTGGCTCACTGCAGCCTCCACCTCCCAGGTTCAAGCATTCTCTGGCCTCAGCCTCCTGAGTAGCTAGGATTACAGGTGCCTGCCACCATGCCCAGTTATTTTTTTATTTTTAGTAGAGACAGAGTTTCCCCTTGTTGGCCAGCCTGGTCTCTATCTCCCGCCTCAGCCTCCCAAAGTGCTGGGATTACAGGTGTGAGCCACTGAGCCTGGTCCCAGGTTTTTTTTTTTTTACTAATAAATAATAATAATAACTGGCATCATCTCAGTACTTACAGTGTGTCAGCCACCACTGTAAGGTCAGGTGGGGGCTTCTATTATTCCCATTTCACAGATGAGGAAAATGACACAGAGGGATCACTTGCTCTAAATCATATGGGTAATCAGTGGAGAGCCAGGATTTGAAGCTTGGCTCACAACAATATCATGTAAAAATAGACAAAATGGCACCTATAAAAAGTAGCTGGTAAAAATTAAATGTCATAATGTATTGTTTCTGACACATTTTGGGTCTTTAGTAAGTGATATTCCCCATTTTCTTACTGCAATCTGTTAAAACAAGGAGTCCACACAGATAGATATGGTAATTTAAAAAATATAGTTTTTTAGTGGTGAAAATACTTGAGATCCATGGGCAAATTCAAATTCAGAAAATGAAGGAAACTTTTAAGATACCTTAGGAATAATGTTACTTTATGTGGGCTCCATGCCTGAGGCTTTACATGGATACTCTACAATAACCTTTGCAGCAATTATGTGAGGCAGGCACTGTTACCAGCACCATTCCTACTGAGAATTGTGCAGGACATGTCTGCCTTATTGAGGTTCATCCAGTAGGGGCTGGGAGATGGAGGCACACTTTTGAGTCCAGGCAGTCTGAGTCCAGAGTTCTGACTCCAACCACTAAGCCTCTAAGCCACATCATAGCTCTTGATATGCTTTATTTTTACCTAGGTTTTTTTTTTTTTTTTTTCATTTCTGATTGAAGCCAGCTGTAGGCTTGCTGCCGGAATTGTCATAATTATTCAAGAAGATTCTACCCTACTCATGGGTGCAGCATCCTATTTATAGGTAACATCACAAGTTCAAGACAGGTTATGCAAATATTTCCACAGCACTTCCATTGTGTGATTACCCTCCTGCCACAGCCTGATTTCAAATTCCTATTCACAAAAGCTAATTTGGACCCAAGGAAGGTCGAATACACAAAATCCTGGAAATCATATGAGAAATCCCTTTTCCTCACAGGTTTATAGCAATTAAATCCTTGATAATGAACTGCTCATCAGTTCTGCAGGAGATGGAAGTGATTGCCTCCGCAGGTAGCAATCATTTTGTGCTGTTGCCACGATTATCAATCTCTTTCAGGATGATTGGAATTTAGCAGTAGGGACCAGAAGAGTAGAAGGTTTTTCAAGATATGGAGTAATACTAGAAAACTGCCAATGAGAACTTAGGTATTTTTCCTCATGAAAGTTTCTTAGCAAGTCAACAGTGGTTAGAAAATGCATCCACCTAGGCAAAACCATTCAGTACATAGGCATAGGCAAGGACTTCATGACTAAAACACCAAAAGCATTGGCAACAAAAGCCAAAATAGACAAATGGGACCTAATTAAACTCCAGAACTTCTGTACAGCAAAAGAAAAAATCATTAGAGTGAACTGGCAACCAACAGAATGGGAAAAAATTTTTGCAGTCTACCCATCTGACAAAGGGCTAATATCCAGAATCTACAAAGAACTAAAACAGATTTACAAGAAAAAAGCAAACAAACCCATCCAAAAGTGGGCAAA